AGCCCCAGTTGCTTCTGGATATTTCGGTTCTTTATTGAAATGGTCCCTTTAATGTCGTCTTTAATTTAATCAAATAGTGTCATCAAAATAACATTTACTCTATTACTGCAAATTCACTGCATTATTAACTAGTGTAACTAGACAAAAAAGATGGTACAAACCCCCATGGAAATATATACTTACTGTAAAAATGGATACAGTTCATAGAGGTTCTATATTTAATTTGCAGTTTCAAAGTACTCTCTATGGAGAGGTTTTATGGTTCTGAAATAATTTAAAAACACACTTTACTACAATCCATAGCAGGTAGTTTTTGCCAATTTGGGAAGTTATGGTGCCTTGTACTTTCCAAAGTACCCAGACTGCATTTTTAACAGTGATGTGCCTCTCTCTCATGAGAAATGGGGCCCCTTCCTCATACCACAGGTGGGTACCACCAAGGACTCACTGGTTTCTTTGTACCCCCCAACAACCCAAATGTAAATAAGATGTTATTGGCAGGGATCTTATCAGGTTGGTAAAAAATACCAATGCATCAATGCCACTTTGGATAGTTTGATCAGAAAACAGGTCATGTTTGGGGCAGGAGATGAAGGATTAGAGGGTTATGGAATTTTAAAATTCTTTCTTCAATTCAAGAGAAAAGCATGGACAGGGAGGACAAGAGTTCTGGGTTCATGGTGTTGAATAAGTTATTTGCTAAGCCTTCCTTTGCCCATCAATGAAAAGAGGAAGTTCTATGACAGTGAAACACTATTAAATAATCTAATATTTTTAAATGTTTGTCTACCCACTTTCTCTTGAGATCAATAATGCCATTTACCAATTGATTTTTTTTATCAGAATTCGCCACTAGCTATTTCTTTGTACAGTGGGAAGGTAAAATATACACAGAGCATCTTTATTTCAAGATTTTCATTCTTCTCCCTACCAAGAAATTCTATTCTTGGGAGGATATTGGATAGACTTAGAAATAAGAGTATTGAACTAAAGTCAGTTCTTTTCAAAAGGCATATATTTTTTACCTGTTGCTGTCCCCGCCACCAGCCAAGTACTATGCCAGGTCCTGAGAAAATAAATACAGATAAGTTCCAGGTCTCTGTCTTGTGGAACTTAACATCAAGTTGAGGACACAAACATGAGAAAAGAATGATAAAATAACTCAGGTGCTCTAATAGAAGCCTTTACAGGATTAACTCTTCATATGTCCATCTGTCCATCCATCCATCCTTCCACCCATTTAACTGTCCATTCTTCCACCCCTACTTTCATTTATTCATCCATCCCCCCATCTGCCTCCCCCCATGATGTCAGAACCATCAATGCTGAATCTCAGTGCAATAGGAAAGCACATGTTTTAGTTGAAGATCCAAGAGCTTGTCAAAGTGTGCAGAATGACGTGGAGATCCAGATGCTGATGAGACTCCATACAAATATGACATAGAAGAGGCTAGAAGACTCCCCAAGGCCAGATGTACAGACTGATGCATCTGAGACAGTGGGGGAAGATGGGCTCCCTCTGTGGTTCTCAACCCCACTGTGATCATCCAAGAAATGGTAAAAAAAAAAAAAATCCTGAAGTGTGGGTTCATCCTCTGGGGAATCTTGTTCAGGTGGGTTAGGGTGCAGCCTGGGCATCAGGATTTTGAAAAGCTCCCTAAATGATTCTAATTTGCAGCTAAAGTTGGCCGTAAAGGATGTGTGTGAGGGCCAGTCTTTCTGGATGATTAATACCAGCGGCGTCTGCACCTTAGGTGTGTCAGTTAGTGGGTATATGGTGCATGGGGGGACAGACCAGTTGAACGGAACACTGGTTAAGTCAGATGTCATAGGGGTGAGAGACAAAGGAGTATGTTGTTGAGCAGAGACTAGACTGGGGCAGCAAGATCAATTCCTGCCACCCGTGTTTTGGTGCAGAGAATCACTAATGCAATGTTTGACCCTCAATCTCGCCATGAATTAGGTCACAGATAAAAAAATACCCCTGCCTCTGACTAGGAGTGACAGAACATTATAGGGCCAGGGTTTCCTAGATTTCATTAAAGTGCTTGTCTTGTGGTACATTAAAAGCAAGTCAGTGTTGGTTGCTGAGTGACTGGCTGACGGTACTCATTCTTCAGTTATCTTATTTGTTCTCGAACAGCCTCAATACTTAAAGTGAAAGGAGACTGTTACCCAATGGAAATCAGTCACTTGCTTTAGGTGGAAGGCATCAGAAATTGCAACGACTGTCTCATTTTGTCACATTCTTACTAGAAAAGGACGTATATCCATGATTTAGCAGGAATTTATTGAGTCAGGCACTGTCAGGCACAGAGTAGATCCAGTGGTGAGCAGGAGAAAAATGGTCTCTGCTTTCTAGGATCTTGCTATCTGGAGGGGACAGAGAACTAAATAAGGAAACACAATACAGTACTACAATCATAATAATTCCGCGTGTCGTCGGTCACCGGGTGTCGGACTCTATGACAGAGGTAAATAGCAGTTAATTCAAAAGGAGCATTTTAAGCTCTGGGACGTCTTTTCAATTCATTTGCTTTATTTTAATTTTTTCTTCTAAAGTTGGCATAACCTTTTATTGAAGCTCTGCCTCCATTGTCATATCTATTTCACACACACACACACACATCTTTGAAGACTTTATTTTAATGGTACATAACTTCAGAACCTCTGGGGCTTGCTTTGGTACCCAAATCATCGTAGCTTCCTGAAAACAGAAGAATCCACAGTGGATTCTCTGCAGAATATCTTTGGGGAAAGATATTACTCACGTATAATTGGGTGTCTCAGAAAGTAATCAACTCCATAGAAAGGAGCTTGCCCACCTACAGACCCCTGAGACTCCAGTGTTCTCGGATAAATGTACAAGTTTCCTTGAAAAAGAGACTCAGGCCAAGCACTCAATGCTTATGTTTCAGATTATACTCTCCCTAAAACCCAGGCAGTTCTTAATGCAGGGTTGGTGATATCTGAAAATAGATTTATAGTGGTTAGTGAGAAAAGTAGGGAAAATACCATGTGTGGTTTTTTAATGATGATCATATGATTGGACTGATAATTATACAATTAAGAGTGACTAAGTCAGTGTGGTTCTTTGTAAAACTTGTTGGTGTAAGGGAATTTTGTCTTTGATTATTAAAGAAAGTATAGTCTGTTGCATGGCACAAAGAAGACACTCAGCAGGTATATAGTTATAGAATGGGATGCACAGGTGGGTGAGTGGATGGATGGATAGATGGATGGATGGATGGATGGATGGATGGATAGATGGATGGATGAATGGATGGATACATGGATGGATGGGTTGGTAAAGGGATGCATGAAAGGGCCTGTTCCCCTTAAGGGGCTCTTTACAAAAATATTTTGATTCTCAATCTTTCACATGCAAGAGGACCCCAGAGATTTTGATTCACTGTGTCTGGAGAGAAATTTGGGTCTCTGTATTTTTAAAAGAAATTCCCCAGTTTTCATGGTATGAGTAGTCTTGGCCTTCTGGATCCTAATTCATCTCTATTTCTACGACATCTTCCATTTTATTGCTAATTCAGAAATCGTCGTGCACTCATATTGCCTGCATTCAGGAGGCACTTCTTTCAAATTTATGTCACCGGCAGTTTGGAAGAGATTGGGGGTCTCTGTTGTTGGAGCAGCTCTCCTGTCTCTCATCAGGACCTCCACTCAGGGCACTCCTGAACAAGCCTGGATATGCCTTCTCCCTGAGATCCAATGGGCCAGGCCATAGGGAAGCTTTGGAAAGGGACAGTCTTGGGGTTTGAACAAGAGAGGAGATGTTTGTCTTGTGAGTAGAATGTTCCGTTACAAGGACACTCGCTCTGTAGGTGACTCTCCATGTAGTATGGTTTGGAGGTGGCATCTTCTTTCTCCATCTCCACGGCTCAATCTCATGTCAGAGGGCAGAAATTTGGAGTCAGTGGGGGTACCCATTTTTTTCTGGGATAAATCTGATTGTGAAGGAGGAAAGAAAAGGCCCAAGTGTGCTGGGTAAGGACTACTGGGTGGCTGAGGAGTTTGACACATTGGTGATTTCCTCATAGGCCCAGTTTACTCCCAGGGATGACAGTCATTTTCTAAGAAACTGAGATCGCTTCTCATTGCGTTTAAAGGCTTAAGTAATGTATTCTGTCAGACAATTCTCTGAAATGGTTTTCCAAGTGAATGCATCAGAAAGTGCCTAGAAAGAATTCTGGCACAGAGAGAGGAGGGCATTCTGAAATGTGAGCTGCTTGAGAGTCGGAATCTAACTTGAGGTGTATTATACATATGGTAAGATGCATGCATGTTAGATAGACAGGTCAGGAACTTTTATTTATGTATACACCCATGTAATTTGTTTATGCACCTGTGTAAAGATAGTCAAGATCAAGATAGACAACATTTCCAACACTCAGAAGGCTTACCTTTACCCATTTTCCATCAATAAATCCCACCATCCGCCAGAGCTAGCCCTGTTCTGATTTCCATCACCGTAGCTCTCTGTTCTCGAGTTTTCTATAAACAGAGTCATGCAGGGTGCACTCTTCAGTGTCTGGCTGCGTTTGCTCAGCATTATGTCATGGGAGTCACCCATTGTATCCTAGTCTTCTTTATTGCTATGTTTCTGACATTTTATTAAAAGTTGAAAGAATTGTAAACATCCATATAGCCATCAGATTTGACAGTTAACATTTCTCTCTACTTGCATTTTATCCATAGATCTATCCCTCTCCCCATCCATCCATCTCATTTTTTATTTATTTCTAAATAAGTTGCACACATCACTCACTTGACTCCTAAACACTTCAGCAGGTGTATCATTATTGTAATAAGGAAGTAGAGTTTGCTTATGGTTGTTTTGTTAAGGGCATGCTTTTTTTTTGTAATAATTAGAGTAATGTAATGATAAAGCTATTAGGAGCCAACAGTTATTGAGTATGGACTTTGTATCAGACATCACACTTTGCACTTGATACGTGGGTGGATGTTGTTACTTCCATTTTAAGAAACCGAGCCTTGAAGATATTATCAACATGCCTATGTTTACAGAGAAAGCAACCCTGGATTGTGGCTGACTCCAAAGCCAGTTTGCCAGCATGCAGTTCAAGTGAATGTGAGTTAAAAACTCGGGGTCAGTGCCCATCTCTGCCTCTTATTAGCTGTGTGACTTTGGGCCAGTGAACTAACCTCTCTGCATCTCAGATTTACCCTACAGTAAAACGATGCCACAGAGTTACTGTTGAAGGTCAAATGAGATTTTTAAATGCCTAAGAAAATACCTGCCTCATTGAAATTCACAATCTAACACTTCCAGCTAGAAAATTCTGGGACTGTTAGTCTGTAGAACAAATGATGTTACTCACCCCAGTTTTGTTGTTACTGCTATTGTTTGTTTTGGCTTTGTCCTTGCTGAATTGTGATTTGATTCCATTTAAGCAGCTCTCTCTGCAAACACAGACTCTGCTCCTCTCTATCTCTTCACTCAGTGATGTTATAATATCTAGAGGCTTATTGATTATTTGTTTGATTCTATTGTGGGCACAGGAGCAGTTCTTAGATTAAGACTATTAGATTTTCCCAAACAGTATTGCCGTGGTTTATACAATTGGACAAAACGGGTGATCTAATTTGGACTCAATTTGCTCTAAAGTAGAGCTGGAGGAGGGAGGTACTGTGATTTGGTTCTGAGCCTGAGAACAAGTAGAAAAAGTTATCTCCAGGTGATATCTGTGTGCCTCATCAATTCCAGATACACTGCGTGAGCAGGTCTGAGAATTCAAAGCTTTTTTGCTTGGTTTCATTTCTCGTCCATGAGCTAAAGAGCCTAGCTTTACCTAGCCAACTGCGATATTAAACCCACTGATATCATTTATTTTTCCACGTGAAATATCTCAGGGAAAAAAAAGTGCCACGTTGAGTTTTCTTGAGATTCTGTGTTAAAAGACTAGAGGTTAAGAGGAGATAACAGATTTGCTCCCAAACAAATGGTTTCCTAATAGCTACTTTGGGTGGAACCAGATGGAAAACTTTGTTTTTCTTCTTTCACTGTATATCTCCACCCTAGCATCCGAGCCCATTTTGATCATACCATCTATAGACATTTCAGGTCTCCATTTTACCTTAACATTATAGCAGAGTTCTACAATATCATTGACTCTTTATGAATATAATTTATAATGATGGCTATAAATTCCATTTATTGGCTATTACTGTAGTTTATTCCTCTAATATTGAAAATTTAGATTGCTTCCAGATTTTCCTTATTATAAATAAGGCTAAAAAATAGACTTTAGATTAATAAATACAATATATAATATTTGACTATTGTATAAGATTAGGTTTCCAGAAGTAGAATTACTGAATAAAAAAAAGTGTACACTTTTAAGGAGCTTACGTACATTTCATAGTTATTTTAATGGCATATCAATATCACTGAAAATGATGGTTTTGGTTCAAATCCCAAGAGAAAACTCTGGGGAAATTACTTAACCTCTCTGTGCCTCAGTTTCCAAATCTGTGAAATGGGAAAAATATTAATGCCTACTTCATAGAGGTGTTGTGAGGATTGAATGAGTTGATATATATAAAACATGTAAGATGTGTCTAACATGTAGTAGGTTTAGTAAATATTATCTGGTTATTTTTAATATTAACTACTAATATTACCTCAATGGAGGAAGAATCTATGGAATACACAAAAATCACCCAAAGGTTTTCTTTGATCCATTGTTTCAGTGTCTCCCATTCTAGAACTTTCCCTAGTCACTAGCCAGCCCCTGAGGTACCCCATATGTGGTTAGCCTAATTTCCCAAACTTAACCACCTCTCTGAGAAGCCCATCAATACTGATCGGTGTCTGGAAGGGAAGAAGCAAACTCATTGTCCAAAATGTTTTCCAAGTGGATGAATCCAGCCCTGAACAATGGGGAGGCTTTCAAAGGTAACTGACCACAGGAAATGACCAAGACTGGAACCATTCAGATTTGGCTGGTGAGGGTTGAGTGGGCCTTAGGTTCCCTTTGATTGGACGGAGGACCCTGTGACAGTCAGGAGCTGACTCAGGAGCTGGCTACAGGCAAAGGCTCAGAGTTCTGAATCTGTGGGCTCTGTAAATGCAGGAGGTACAGGATTGGGGACAATGGGAGTGGCTTTGCTTACATGGGCCCCAGTGGAGCATCCTGGGACACAGCAGCAGCAGGAGCAAACAGGGAGTCTTCCCTGAACCCCCTGCTCCCCCAGTCTTGTGTTCTCACTTCTCATGTAGTGCTTAACCCAACAAATTAAAAATGTGATGTGATCTCCATTTCCTCTGAGTTCTCCAAGAGCAAGGCTCCTAGCATGTTGCATGGTCTGTAGGAGATGATCCATCTGTGTGCATGAGTGGACGCGTGAGTGAATGAATGAATGAATCATTATTTCTAGAATATCCAGAGACTGCACCCAGACGCAACTTGGCCCAATGGGAGGACTGTAACTGCCGATCCTAGGCAGGAAACGTGAGCTCCGAGCCCTGACCATTCTGTAGGGGTGGATAGAAAGTGCCATTGATAATTGTCAGACAGGCCAGGTCCTGGAGTTCTCTGGGAAGTTCTCGCCAACCTCGGGAAATGGGGCAGCAGTTTAACTTATGGATGCAGTGATGCTTTATTATTAACCACCACAAGCAGAGAGGCACGAGGATGACTGTGACCATTTTGCTTCACATGTAAACTTTGACCTCAGAGCAAAGGGGCGGCGGGTGCTTTTTCCAAGGACCCTGTTGATGGTGACAATAAGCACGAGGCCCAGCTGCCAAGAAGGCTGATAACGGGAGAGCGGAGCGTGTCTTTTCTTCCTCCTTTTTTTAAACCATGCGCGTTGGTTTTAGGAATCATTAGCATGGTGAAGATTAAAGCTATTGGAGATAGCACAGATTGTTTCATTTTATTATGTTCAATTGGATTGGATCCGAGCCATTTGCAAAGTGCAGTATTACCATAAGAAGGGACTTAGAATGTTTGTCACATAATACCCTTTTATGGAGAAGGCAGTTTCTTAAAATTAAAAAAAAAAAAGACTTGAAATAGCAAGGCTTTCTTCTGCTTTCGAAGTGCAACAAAATAGAACTCTGTATGTGCCCAGATGGACTGCTTAGGAGCTATATGAGTGGCTCAACTCTCTGGTTCCAGAGGCCCTTGTCTTTTGCTACTTAATTCAGGGGACAAAGTCAAGAAAGTAAAACTCAGGACCCCAGTCCTGCCTGTTCAACCAGAGCCATTCCCCTCTTCAAAATTGCCTCTTGTTCTATGTATACCTTAGACACTGTTCGCAAAAAGGGGGGTTCCTGCTGCTTTAACGATGATAAAAAGATAGTTTGCTGAGAACATTAAGTGAAAGATGCCAGTCACAGAGGACCATGGGATTCCGTTTATACAGAATGTCCTCAAGAGGCAGATCTGTAGAGGCAGAGCGTAGATTTGTGGTTTCCTGGGGCTGAGAGGGCATGGAGGGATTGGGGAGTAACAGCGAAAGGAGGGGGTTTCTTTTGGAACAATGAAAATGTTCTAACGTTGATGTGGTAAGCATTGTAAAACTGTGACTATACTAGAAACTATTGATCTGTATATTTTAAATGGGGCACTGGTGTGGTATGTGAACGATATCTCAATAAAGCTGTCATAAGCAGCGTGAAAACCGGGATGTAATTCAACCAGTCTGATGCTCGTGTCCTCAATGTTCCTATTTCAGTCCGGACTGGGACAAACACCCAGGTGAGGTGTGAGCAGCACACAGGGGAACGCCGTCCCCTGCACCCCCAGCATGCTACTTCCATTCATGCCACCCGAAAGCCACATCACCACGGTGACTTTCAGTTATACAATGGGACTTACCTCGGCACTGCTGTAATTTTACTTGAATCCCTGTCTCTGCCAATACAGTGCAAACCTCCTTGATGTCAGGGTTTCCAGGTCACGGTGAGCTAGTTTTTGAATAATACAATGACCTCATGCCCAGGAGTGTACTTGTTGTTGAGAACATACAATGAATAAGACACAACTCAAGCTCTAGACAGCTCACAGTTTTGGGGGGAAAACTGGTACCATCTAGTGAAACCAAGGAAGGTTTCACCTAAGAGCTTAGGTTTGCTTTAGGGCTTGGATGATGCATAGAAGCTCACCAAACATGGAAGCAGAAGAGTAAGCATTCAAGGCAGAAGAAACATCATGGGGAAGAGCTAAGAAAAAACATACAGTGTCAGAATCATGAGAAATTTGCTGAGAATTAATTTAAGAACATGATTTAGAAAGATAGTATATTATACCCCATGTCCACAACTTTCATGGAACAGTGTACGCTGTTCTGTCATCCCATATTAGTCATAATTCTTGGTGGCAACTAAATTTACCTTATGACAAAAGGGAGTATATTGGTTCATATACTAGAGAGTCTTAGAATTGTAGCTTCAGGCATGGCTGTATCCAGGGGCTCAAATACATAATCAGATAATTTGTCTCTTTCCATCTGTGTGGCTTACTTTATACAGCAGTTTTTCTCTGCCTGGTGGGAGAGATGGTTACTACAAGGACCAAAGTCCCATTCTCATATAATATCAGTAATAGCAAGAGGTCTTAGCCTCTCTCCCAGGGAAGATTCCAGTCCAGTGTAGGTCACATGCTTTATCTCTGATCCAGTCACTATGGTCAAGAGATGGGCTATTTAATTAGCCGACCGAGGTCATGGGTCTACTATTGTGGAAAGGAAATAAAACACTCCAATTGGACCACGGGATCAAATGGAGGAAAGTGTGCTTTTCAGAAGAATAGAAGGGAAAGGAGGGACAAGTGTGCTAATCCCCCATATCCCCTGAGATTTTTTTTAAAGTTCAGGCATTAAGCTGTGTTTTGTTCTTGTGATGTTGGATTTGAAACCTTAGCTGAGGATTTTACACACACACCGGTTAAATTCCATTTAGGTAAAATACTAACAAGAGAGAAGTAATTCATTTCCCTTCCTTGGACCTCAGTTTTCTCATCAACAAAATGGGGATAATAGTGTGGACACTGTAGCCTGTTTACAAAGATCCATGGGAAACATCAGGCACGCACTCAGAGAGCACTGCGTTCTTCCTAGGCC